AGGATTTCACACAGTTCCTTAATGGTGTCGCCACTAAACAATCAACCAATCTCTACCATAAACCTCACTGCTATCCCATGATTTTAAAGAAATATATAATTGTGTATATCTTTTGCGCGCTTTAGGCTATTTATGCCTTGTGCACGCTGACATTATTATTTTGGTTTAATAACGTTGATGACTTGTGGTTCCCATATCTTCAAGAGGTCAGAAAGACAATTATTTTTCCTATGTTCATTTCGTTAGGTTTGTCGAGACAAGACAAACTGAGCTCAATTATATTATTAGAGGTAGCAAAATGTCCTGTAGGCTAGATGTTAAAAAGCAATAGCCCACTTCTGTTGAATATGTTCCTGTTTTGTTAACATGGCCTCTGTTAGTTGAATGAGACATAATATTTCAAAGAGCACATCATTAGTCTAGGCTAAGACCTACTTTACCAAATAATGAACCAGTCAGTCAAACGTTTGGGCTTTATTGGTGTCATAGGCTATATCCTACTTTGTTTTAGGCTATTTTCTGCACTGCTCTTGTTTAGGCTGTAAAGGGATGTAATTTACATTCGAAATTATGACTATTCTAACTTGACACTCTAAACACAATGCATCAGAAATTATGACTATTCTAACTTGACACTCTAAACACAATGCATCAGAAATTATGACTATTCGAACTTGGCACGGAACACAATACACACGCCTTAGGCTACATCAAGCGAAAAAGTTAGAAAGTGACTTAATAGATGAAGTTCGCGATAAATAGGACATTCGCTCATGATCCATAGGTGCATTCTGTTTGATTGGCAGACGAGTGGTTATTCTGATGAGAAAGTGTATTGGCTGGCATATATTGCATGAGCATAAGCGCAATGCATAAGTGGGTTTGGACATCTCCCGCGACTTCCTGGTTAGCAGGGTGATAAGTGGTGTCCAAAGTGACGTGTAGCGTCACTGCGGCCAATCACTGCCAAGTTGTGGATGATATTAGGGGAAAGTTGGTGGTAGAAGCGACAGGGTCATTTTATATTATCATCGACTTGGAAACAGACCTGCAATTCAATACATGAAAACCATGGAGACTAAGTGTTACATTCTATACATTCTTGCTTCTGTTTTATGATGATCAACACTGACTGGAAACACAAGTGAAGTGGATCTTTACTTTCTCCCAGGTAGGACTTTAAAAATATTTATCTGTCAACCATTACGCTTTATATTGCTTTCCTGGCTTGGTGGCTTGGATATATGAATCCTTACCATTCAGCAAAGCCGTTTGCAAACATATTTCCCTGTGCATAATTGTTCCCACTGAGCTTCGAGGAAACATGTTTATTGAACCCGAGGTAAGTCTTCACGTGATAGTAAGTAGGGAAATGTTGTCCAGATTGCTTAAACAGTTAAACAAGCTAGACAATGGACTTAAGGAACGTAAATTTAGCCTTTGATGGATTTAATGCAACTACAGTTTTACGCAAGCATGTTTAATGCTTAGGCTAATAATATAAATAATAACAATTATTGTTGTGTTTCGTGTGTTATTAGGTTATAGAGTTGATATAACCGTAGGCTATTTGTCTAGTTGTAGGCCCTTTTAAGTTGTTCAAAACATGTGAGTATGACAACACCTCAGTGAGTGTACACTGCAGTTTACCTCATTACTAAATTGAACACTTTCCACACCTTCCTATTTAGGGGCATTTATAGAGGAATATGTTTATGCTGCTGTCAGGAAGTAAATAATCTGGCAGTGAACCATTTCATGAAATATGACAAGATCTTTAGTTACACTTTACATTCGGAATATGGGCCTGCATCACAATTAATAAACACATAGGCCTGCAGGTATTGCCATAACAAAACATGGTATTACCCCCCTCCATAAAGGAGTTGATGGTTAGACCTATATTACAAAACATGTATTAATTCAGCAGTAGATAATTTCTGTAAAGTACAGCCTAGCTGCAATTTATAATTTGTTACCGGTGATACTCCAAGATCAAGTGCTAGTCTACTAGTTAGCTGTAGAATATAATAATAAAGCTCATATAACCTTACGTTCCCCACAACCGATCCTCTCCTTAACTTCTGATAAATCAATGGGTGTATCAACATATGAGGTGTATCAGACATAAATATCGCTATCGAGAGCTCTAGATGAACTTGCACTCGATAGATCTCCGAATATATGCATATCTCTTCTCTCTCTCTCTCTATCTCTCTCTCATCTCTTCCTCCCTATATTCTCTTCTTCTCTCTCTCTCTTCTCTCCTCTCTCTCTCTCTCTCTCTCTCTCTCTCTCTCTCTCTCTCTCTCTCTCTCGCTCGCTCTCTCTCGCTCTCTAACTCTAACTCTCTATCTCTGTCCTGTGTTTCCAATAATGACATCAGCCATATTCAGTGCCACCTCCCCTTATGATTTTTTTGTGGGTCAAAACCTTTAGGGGGTGCTCAAAAAACCACTTTGCCCGAGGGAAAAAGAGCGACAAGATTACAATATTTGCCCATGGCCTGAGAGAGTACTTGGTGCTAATCCAAAACTGCGCTAATTGATAGTTTTCAATGTAGCAATTGCAACTCGTGGATGTTGCCTGAGTTGTTCCAATGAATGGATTTACATTCCAAATGTTGTTTTTTTTACTTGTTGATTTCGAGAAATGTAATCTGGAGTCAAGTAACAAGATAACTCAACCACAAGACAACAACAAGGCGGATTACATCTTTCCAAAGAATTAAATGATCCATAGGTGCTATTGTTTAGCATTGTTACAACAGCTTGATCTGGGATCTTTTCATTGAATGGAGTGAAGCAGAAGGAATTGGGGTTTGTACATTACAAGATAACAAACGTTGTTAGCAGTGCACTGCATGGTTCTTCAGTGGGTTTATGGACATGAAAGACGACTTTTTGGTAGCCTAGTTTTAGGGTAAACTTGTAATGATGTATTTCGCCCATAGATGTGCATCAAAGCAATTATAACTGCATTTCCAACATTAGTTGACATAGTCATGTTTTGTTTATTTGCATGCATAAAATGTTTGGCCTATGCCGTGCCCGTGCATGCTCAGAAAGTTCCATCAAATATTACAATAAAATATTATATTCAAACGTTAGTAGAGCTCATCTTAAAAATCTTAGATTTTGACAAACTATTAACCAATATTTTACTACACAGAAACCTTCAAAGCAATACAACCACGTTGACAGAGTGGACTATAGTTTATGCACCTACAGAAAAGTAGAATCTTGCTCTTATACAAAACATTTCATTAGAAGAATGTACTATTGTATTCCTTATTCTAAGATACATATAGCCTACTTCACTGCATCTAACTATATATGCCACGCATGACAGCAGAGTTCCTTGCAATAAAAAAATAGCCACATTGGTAGCCTAACTTCGTCAGCACTTTTGGGCACTGCAAAAACAGTGTGCCAAAATGTGTAGGCAACAATAAACCGTCCGCGTCATAAGAATTTGCAGCGAGGGTTGTAGAGGAGTGGTATGAAAGTTATGTGCAAATATTAGGAGTTTCACCACGGGACTCGAGATGACAGTGCATGACGGTCGCGGCAGCTCATTATCCCAGTCGCCCTTTCATTGCGATGCAAACTCTTTGGCAGTGTCGTTTGTCTTCTCATTGTACTTTAGTTGGGAATGCAATGGTTGTCAGGACTTATTCAGTTTATTGATGAGCTCTGACTTTTAGCACTTTTCACATGTCAAAGGAAGTCAAGTGTATGCATCCACGACTTCATTTTATGCTCTGCGCCTTCCGACACTTTTCTCCCCTCTTGTAGGTTACCCCACCATGCCACAGCCCCCCTCGTTTATTATCCCACGACCCGGAATCTATTCCATTTGAACAAATGATGGGAACACCCATAGCCGAGACTGGTGCTCCAAGTGTAAACTCAAATGCAGGCACGGATGGGGTTGATTTGGAGTGTATGGTGTGCGTTAATGGCCAGGCATTCAACAAATGTAGTTCGGGTGTGTGGTCATGACTGCAAATACATTTGCTTATATTTACGTCCTGTGTAATCTATCATTTAGAAGCCTGGACGCAGCGTTTTGGCTAACATTTGATCCATTGAAAACGAAGTAAGATAATCGGCCTCGCTATTATATTCATTTAGTCCATAGATATTGTTTGTCATTTAGGTCTAAACAACCAAATCTACCATGTGATTTCAGAGTTAACAGCGACAAGTGCAGAAAGTTTGCAATTGCTTCAGTGACTGCACTCTGCACTTTAGGCTGCTGCGTAAAGATCGCTTTCAAAAGTTATAGCCTAATAATTCCTAAACTAAATCTTTAAATCCAGCCTTTAGATACAAATATTTATATAAACGTTAATATTACAAATAGATAGGCTATCACCTTATGTAGGCTAAATGAGTAAAGTGGTGCTTTGTTAGTCTTTATTAATGGGCTATCAGTGTAAACGATCAAAAATAAAGATGGACTGCAAATGGTTAATGTTGATCACTTTAAGGTCGGCGCGCACAATGTGTTCATTTATTTCTTCAGGTTCATGGTTAGCGTAAGAAAGCTTGTCTGCGTTCCACGATGGTGGAGCCCTGTGAGTTGCACTTGCCATTCCTCGTCCAATGGTTAGCCTTCAATAGCATCCAATAGCATTTCTAAAGGAAATATTCAGTGCGTGTACGTGTATGTGCGTGTGTGCGCGCGCATGTGTGTGTTTGTTAGAGAGGGAGAAGTGAATTTGCATGTGCAGAGTGATTAGTAGGTTTGAAAAGCTAGCTCTGGCTCTGCCCGGTTTCCCGCTCTGCACTGCGGAGTAGGAGGAAGTGTTTCGCTGGAATATGATGACAGAGGTCAGGCACTGCTAATCGGCCACTGAAGAGGAGTGGAGGCGAGGCACAGACCAGGAACACATACATTAATGCACTTGTACCATCACCAATCAGCATAGGTGCGCTGCTCTGCGCTACTCTCTCCCTCTCTCCCTCTATCTCGCCCTCTCCCTCTCCCTCCCTCGCCCTCCCTCTCTCTCTATCTCTCTCTCACCCACTCACGAGCGCACATTTTCAGTCTCGCGCAGCCCTGACGTCCCATTTTATTGTCAATCTCTGCTTCTTTCGCAGGGATTTCCATCTCTATTCAAGATCACTTGGAACATATAAACAAGACAAACTCTTCGCAGGGGCTATACAGCACTGTGGCTCCGTCTAATTTGTGCTCAGACTTATCAACTAGGGCTTTGGCTGCAGTGTACACAGGATGCCTCAAAAAGGTAAGCTCCAATTTCTTGGCACTTTGTACCTAGCCTACATTTCAGACAGCATGCATTATTCACCTAACCATAGCATACACATTACACCATTTTAGAGTGAAACATCAAATAAAAGTAGGCTAAGTGTTGGAAATGCAAATTAAAACTCCAAGTTAATAATGTTTAAATGTTTGTAATTTAGGAAGAGTCCGAACGGCTCGAAAGTTTTTAGTGCTGGTCATTTCGGCTTTAACAAAGGAACTTCGGTACGCAAACTAGTGGCAGCCTAATTTGAACATTTAGGTTCGCATCCTTATGTATTTATACTGTGCATTTGCTTGTATTCCGTCGGTGCTTGCAGTTATCTTAATGCTTATTTATGACAGGAAATAGTAAAAGTCAGGCCAAGACAGTGATAAGTCCAGAGAATGGGGACGTGATGATGCGACGAGCAAGGGTGTCAAGTTGAATCATACAGTCAGCCTTACCCGGGCGCCATCACAACAAAATGCTCTTTTAACTTTTTCCTAAGTTTGGCAAATGTTAAATCATTTTCAGGATACATTTTCCTCAATTCAATTACAATTTAAGTAGCCTACTTACTGAACTCAAATAGTAATGTTTTTAACATGCAGTATATATATGTGAAAACAGTTTAGTTTATTATAGCTATTTCGCCACACAAAGTAATAATGATTAGAATAAGTGCATAGTTACGTTTTACGTACTACAAATATAGGAAAATACAGAAAAATCACAACTTTAAAAGTGTTTATATTAGTGGTTAATTAGCTAAGATGATTTATAGCATTGGGCAATGCATTATGCTTTTGGCTCTTCCAGTACGATATTGCTTTATTCTATTAGCTAAATATATGGTAGCTATATATAGTAGTAGTTATGTCAAATGTTACTGTGTTCAACTTCCTGCCAGGACATTGTTCCTTTATGGAGTTTTTCTGCATAGAAATGAAGGGAATAATCAGGAATAATATAGGCCTTACAAGTCTGAAGATGCATGTTCAATTAAAATAGTTGTAGTTGTTGATTAAAACGGGCAAAATACAGATGAGACCTTCTTCTTTTGCAGACTGCATCAAATACATGATACAATTCTAGTTAGACTTGCACAATAAGCTAATTATTGGCTTCTCATGACATTAAAAAGTTGGTGGATTTTATATATATATATATATACAAGTAGACTGCTTCCGGGTTAACTTTATGCTTAATTAATTGTTATATCAAATTAGTTAATGGATTATTTTACACAAGCAATCAATATAAACTCGGAACCCTTTACTTTGCTCTTTCCCATTTTCCCATTGCATTATTGCAATTGAAAATAATTAGAAGAGAGAATGAGGAAAAATGAAAATAAATGTTTTGTAGCTTCACCCATCTACTTATAAACGTATATAATCAGTGAACAAATAGTGCAATGAATTTTTCTAACTTTATTTTAGAAAATTATTATAAATTATGAGTTATGATGATGAGTTAGTTGAATTTACAGTTTCTTTAGAATATCTTCATACATATGAATAGCAGCTTGGCTCTATTATTGGATGTAGGCTATAGGCTATTTATTTGTGGATGCACACTGTAAATACACACACAGTCAGTCCCTCGCCTGTTCAAAAAGGAGAAGATGAAAAGGGAGAAAATCAAAGCTTGGACTATTTCCTTAGTGGCCTCCTTTTCGGCAAATGTTTTGAATAGGCTCTTTATGGCAATTGTATTTTTCCAATTGAGCACCCCACTGAGCTGTTGTATCTTTTTTACAACTCTAACGACACACACTAGCAACACAATTACATCCAGATATTTAAAACAAGAAATTGCGTTTCTATTTTCCAAATCGAGACAAACAAAAAAGCAGAGGGATACGGGCACCGGGTCACGGCAAGCAGCAGTGTAACTGTGGCGGTGTGAGAGGGTGTTGTGCTGGGCATCGGTGCAGTGGGAGGGGGTTGCTCCCTACAGCTCTTTGTATTCCTGAGAGTTGTTGGTACGTTTAGTTCGAGGCTGTGTAGCTAGTTAGTGAGCCTGAGTTATGCTCTCTGGGTTCTGGTGTAGAAGCAGAAAGGACGCCATTGTTGTAATTCCGCAGGCTTTGTTGGAGAGCCTTCACCCCCTCCCGATGTCACTTTCCAAAGCAGCCAAGCGAGGGAGACAGCGTGTGTCACTAGACGACTACATATAAAGACATCTTAAACGTATATTACTGACTAAAGTTTTCACGGCCAATATAATAATAACAGTAACGTTTTACATCTTAATGTATTCAAAAATCCTTAACTTTATTTCTTTAAGGTAGCCAGCCTACTCTCAATACACCTAAAATACAATCAAACGCTGATAATAAGCTATTGAACCTTTTCTAGAATTACTGCAATGCTATTTATCTCAAGAAATGAGTTTGAAAATATTGCAGTAAGTCTGACTTAATAAAAACGAAAGCTAAGGTGCCTACTAATAAAATGTTTTGCTTTGTCCATAGGGAGAATATATTAACTAGTGAGAAGCAGATGAGAGAATCTTTAAATTGTTTTAAGCGGACAGTCCACACTGTTTCCAGGCAAGTTTAAACACTGAATATATATATATATTCAAAAATCTTTAGAACAACAAACGATATTATGCTCTCATATTATGAAATATCAATTAATAATAGCCTAATGCATCCTGAGTTATTAATGAGTAATATAGTGCCCACCGTAATTGTCTAATTGCACCAAATCAATGTCTGTGATGTGTATGTACCCTGAGTATTGTACTATTATTAGCAGCCTGCCAATACTGATCATTGCTATTCTTTCCCCATGACTAATAGAATACTATAACCGGGCCACGTGGGAATCTGGCGTCGTGTCCATGATGCAAAACAGTAAGTTCATGTTTTTTTCTGAGTAACTATATACACTGAGCTGTAAAGAGACATGTGGCACATGACATTTATGCTGAATATGTTGGTTTGCATGTTTGTGTAGAATAAGGCCAAGATTTTCCGACATGTTTACATTTGCTGAATTAGAAATGTTTTTTATATGCTCACCCTCATATTTTGATCCACACAGTTGTATTTGTATTAGTGGACTTTGACTAGTATGCTTCTATTAACCTGTACGTGTAACAACTGAAATATAGCCTAATATCTGCACCTGCACTATCACCAACTATCAGAGAAGAGGCTAGCAGGAAGGAGAAGGCCTCGATGGTTTTATTTATTGGCTAATTACATACAACTTCCAAATAAGGCCTACACAATAATAATAAAACACCAATAGAAAGAAAGAAAGAAAGAAAGAAAGAAAGAAAGAAAGAAAGAAAGAAAGAAAGAAAGAAAGAAAGAAAGAAAGAAAGAAAGAAAGAAAGAAAGAAAGAAAGAAGAGGATACGTTTAAAGTTTATTCTTGATATGATAAAATAACATTTCAGAAACGCCTGTTGGGGTATGCCAATTCACATTGTCCATTATATATGCACTAATGGACATTGCATGGATCTCATGGAGAATATGTAATGTTTATGAAGATGTTATTCCTTCTGTATAACCACAGTGTGAGGGTAAAAGTTTATGCTTTGATGAGACTGAGTATTTTTTTTAATGAATGCATTGGGACTATACACGTTAGAGCAGTATTTACATATTTGAGATGCTATTCACTAATTCATAATTCATAATTTTGTATCGTTGGCAGAATGACAATAAAATACATATATTTTCTTTCTTAATGCTGGACAAGAGGTGTATGACTATAACGAAGGTGTGTGGAATGGCTTACTCTCATTCTCTTAAACTCAACGACACGTTTGTGCTGCAGTGTGCTTTCATATTTATGCCAATACATTATATTGTCTTGGCTTAGCCTTGCACTTCATGTATATTTTCATATAAGGCCTAAATTTAACAAGTTATAGGCGTAGGATCAGAGGGAAGATGTGACGCATACACTTGAAAGACCTCCAACCAAACAAAGCATTTGTATCTAGGTCAGCTTAAGTAGGCCATATTTAATAATTGTATGGTGATGTGAAGTCCCATATTCCCTCTCACATTTGAAAAGAAAACTGAAGTCTTCAAATAATTGCACGAAGAAAAAAAAACATATCAAAATGTACATTGTGTCTGTTCCTCTCTTTTTATATCAGCCTACTGGCTACCAAAATATTAGGGCTATATATCAGCCTGTAATCAAGATTGTATAGAACTATGCCTTAATTTATCTCTTGTTACATTTTTACATTGTCATGGCAATGGACTGTTGCAATGTTATAGTGGGGTGATCTCTTGAGCGAAATACTGAGCAGATATTATTCGGATGAGGCCTTCAGTTTGTCTAAAGGTCACGGCTGACTCTGCAGGCTTTGTGCTAATAACTCCTGGCTGTATATGGAACTGAGCGTCCAAATTGACGCCATATGTTTTCCTATTAATTGACTTGCAATAGAATACAAGGCGCATAATCATTGCCACCGGGCGAGATTGACACCACTCACCGTGGGGAATTATTTAATGATTGAGACTTAACCTTTCGAGTGAAAGTTAGATTGTATTTTCTTATCTCTATGTGGCAGTGATCAAGTGCATTTATATGAGCACTAGGCCTATACGGGAGGCGCGTTCAAAGTAAATAAATCTTCAATATGCTTTTCCCTGCTGACCTATCAAATGCACAAACACAATTGATTTAATCTAATCCTGGAATCAACCTCAAAAAATGACATAGCGATGGATTTGCTCTTATAGCAGTCTTTTCCTGAGCGGATAGCCTTTATTTACACCCTGATTTTGGTTCGAATTTGTGAATTTAGCACAATGTCAGTAGACAACAAATTCACAAGCACGTGTAATTTTCTATTTTAAGGCCTAATGTAATATTATAATTGATGTAGGGCCTACCTATTATTTATCATTTGAAAACACAGTAACAAAACATATATAAAAGACGGGCGAGTGCAAACATCTACAGCAGACTCGTGATAACAAATATAGTCTGTGTTGGTTTGTCGCTTGAAAAAAAGATGTAACTTTTGATATATTAAGAGCGACGCGCGCTCCCATCCTCGGGCCCGCGCACAGCCCCCTGGCTACCATAAAATGAAGCTTCCCTTGAAGGGTAAATGAGTAGAGTCCAATTTAGTCTGAGTGATATCCAAATGCAGACAGAAAGGGTCGTTTTATCATGCTACTATTTGTCGTGACGATGCCATTTTCAAAAGCAGAGCAGTGTCATAAAGTGACATGCCTGCCACAAGTGCTCCAACTGATCTTTTCAATTAGCCTTCCATGCATGATCCAGGGCGACTTCCGCCTATTTCCAGAAATTAACATCAAACTTGACGTGCAGCTAGCTTTACTTTAAAGACAAATGTCAGCCAGGCTCATCATATTTTTCCCCTCTTCTATATTTGGAGCTTATTTATTGCTAAGGAGCTTGTGCTCTTGGAGTCAATTTAACGGGAGGCTTCGAAGGGAAGGGAGCGGAGAACTAGAGCAAACGTAGGCGGCTACAAGGAGGCTTCTTTTCCATTGGACTTCAGGTTTGGTCTGGTTTTCTGGGCTATCCTAAACTGGATATTGTTAATTAACTCGCACGAAACTTCTTTAAATGAGCGTTTATGGTGTTTTGGCTGGTGTAATATCAAGTTGATATACAGTTGGATTAGGTGACGATTTGTTTTTAGTCTTGAAATTATACTGTAATTAGTACTTTATAATGCTGTGCCGCAAATAGCATTACGCTATTTGATCTTATTAAAGCTTTGTAAAGATGCGCAAATCTCGGCTCAGTGGGCTGGAGATGTTTTGGTCGAGATCATACCACACCGCTGACGCTTAATCAATGTTCTGCTCGTGTGATTAGAACAAGATTGTAGAAAATAATAACATTGCGAGCATATCCGGAAAGCATTTCGAACATATGACAGATGAACAATGGCAATAATTACAGACTACGCAAATTCCAGCGTGATTTTCCCTATGTTTGGTGCTGAACGTTCAGTTTAGTTCTGTTTGATAACTTTTATTTTGCATAGTTAACCACTAAACGCTTGCATCGGAGACATCTGTAGTGAAGAGGTTGCTGTTTTTTTATTTTTTTTTTTTTATCACAGCTCTTGATTAGTGGCTTAACTAAAGATAGTGCAACCCCTGTCTCTGCCCAGGTCACAGCGGAGTGAATCAGCTCGGCGGAGTGTTCGTCAACGGAAGACCCCTGCCCGACACCACCAGACAGAAAATAGTCGAGCTTGCTCACAGTGGCGCGCGGCCGTGCGATATATCCAGGATTCTGCAGGTGATAACACTGCATTCTTCTCCCTGTCTGCGTCAGTAAAACGCCTTAGAATAAGATTCCTAATGCGTGATTTTTATTTAGAATATATACCAACTCAATGCACATCCAACAGTTCAAGCCATTTCAAGTTGCCGTTTTGAAAATTAGAATATTACGCACGAATAAATAGGCTACTTCATTGTAGCAATGAATTATGGTTTGTGGTGATGCCAGGATATGTTAGGATACAACCTGCAAACACAACCATCCAAAGTAGATGCCCTGATCCAGTGCAAATTAAATTACCGTACCATTCAAGGTATATTTCTTGTGTTATAGACCCATGGTGATGCAAAAGTTCAAGTGCTGGACAATGAAAACGTAAGCGTAACAATGTTTGTAGTATAAACATATATTTCACATTAGTCTTAAATAATGTATGTGATTTGTGTCTATTGTTTTCTATTTAGGTGTCAAACGGCTGTGTGAGTAAGATTCTGGGCAGATACTATGAAACCGGCTCCATCAGACCAAGGGCGATCGGGGGTAGCAAACCAAGAGTAGCAACTCCCGAGGTGGTCGGAAAAATTGCAGTATACAAGAGGGAGTGCCCTTCAATCTTCGCGTGGGAAATTCGTGACAGACTGCTATCCGAGGGGGTCTGCACAAACGATAATATACCCAGTGTAAGTTCATTGAGTGTAAGTTATTAGTCATACCATTTTATAGGCCTATACGCTTAAAACAATTACCATGAACAACTGACCTCCATATTGGTTATGATTATGCACCTGTATCAGAACAATTACATAAATTGACAATTTAATTGATATTTTCTTAATCTCCCATTTCGATAGCGAGTTTCTTATCCAAATACATATTGTGAATGTGAGGGTATGCATGCACTTATGTGACAGATCACTTGCAAGCCAGTGTGCCGTCACAAGGGAAGCAAGCGCCAAGCGCGTTTAATTAATGTGAAGCATTTTGGGTTTGTCTTTCAGGTGTCGTCGATAAACAGAGTACTGCGCAACCTGGCTAGCGAGAAGCAACAGATGGGCGCAGATGGCATGTATGAGAAGTTGAGAATGCTGAACGGTCAGACTGGGACGTGGGGGACCCGGCCGAGCTGGTACCCCGGAACCTCAGTGCCAGGACAGCCCAACCCAGGTAGGAGAATCACTGGATTTGACGAGTGGAGTGCGGATGAGTGGCGCAGTGGTCTAAGGCACTGTATCTCAGTGCTAGAGGCGTCACTACAGACCCTGGTTCGCTTCCAGGCTGTATCACAACTGGCTGGCTGTGATTGGGAGTCCCATAGGGCGGCGCACAATTGGGCCAGCGTCGGCCGGGTTTGGCCGGGGTAGGCCGTCATTGTAAATAAGAATTTGTTCATAACTCACTTGCCTAATAAAATATTATGTTGTATTTATAACGATTAATTATTATTATTATTATTATTATTATTATTATTATTATTATTATTATTATCATTATTATTATTATTAGTAGTAGTAGTTTTAGTAGTAGTACAATTATAGTATCATTATAGTATGCCTATATTATTACAATAGTGTTATTACTAAAATAAACAATAATATCTCATTTTTATTTTATCGTGTTAAAACATTATTAGGCTACATTATTGTTACATTGTTTAAAGTAACATGGGAATAAACATTTATTTTTAGAAAATCTTTGAGTTCAGTTGATATTGTTTATCACTAATGCATCTGCTTCATTAAACTTATTAGACTTACGCATGGAACTGTAATTCATTTGCTGGTCTATATGCAGAGAAGTAACCGAACACTTCGACATTTGACCTTTGGGAAACATAGATGCATGTATAATTCTGACGTGAGACTGTGAGAGCTTGTTGAGATTAAAAGATTACTTGGTTTGATTCGACTAGTTATTAATTTGCAAAATCTTGGCATGTTTTTCTATCAACAATTTTTTTACAATATGGTTGTAATTTCACAATTTAGTCTGCACGATTTAGTCTGCACGATTTAGTCTGCACGATTGATCCATTCCTAGGCCTATGGGCCTACAATATTTTGCATTCGGTCTCCCACCCGAGGATGAAAAAAATCTGAAGCAGTGTGCGGAATATCTGTACAAAGGATGTTTCTGTCACACGCAAGAATTTGTTATGGGAACAGTTCTGTCGCTATGTAATTGCTCATTAGAGAACGTTTTGTTTCTCATTAAGGGCGACATGAATAAGCATCTAGTTTGAGGAGACAGCTGTAGAAATGTTCCACGGGAGACCTCTGGACACGATATGGCATCACTTGCCAATTAGACACGTCAGTTTTAAGAGAACTAAACAATAAAAGATGGACACCATAGAGATACAAATAGTCGTGTTTTCCCCCTCATAATATCTGCAGTGTTTTGGTGTTGTTGGCAACTACATCTGTCTCGCGAATCGCCTACATTTTTCTTTTCTCCACTATCTATTTATTTTCCAACTCTTAAAGTCCTATTGGCTTTGGAGCTCTGGCAGAATGAAGTTACCTCAACAATTACATGAAGGTGGATGAAAGGTGACCGAGTGTCATGAGTAGCAAATTGTAGCCTATTTTTTATTAGCATATACATTTTTTTTATTGTATTATTTTGTATTATTGTCATTATGATTATTAACTAGGCACTACTGTTATTATAATAGTATCATAATTGTATTCATTATATAATCTAAACCTATATAATCTTATCAAAATTATATAGGCTAATATTATTATATATGAATAATAAGGCTGTTGTTGTTTGTACTTCAAATGTATCTCTGTTATCCTGTCTATTCACAATGTGTGTGTAAACAACACAACCAGCTATACCAACATTGTATGTTCACTTATGTTCTGCCATAAGTGTCTATACTTGCGTGGAGTGCGATTTCAAGCGCATTAAGAATCCATTACTCCGGAAGCATATGGTTGGGTGAGGTCTCAGAGGGGGACAAATATGGTCTCAATCTGATAAACGCCACGCAACAGTGAATAAAATAACGAATTCATTAGAGTGACAGGGCCTAAAAAGAGACAACTCTTTCATAAGGAGAGGGTAAAAGCTCGCGCTAGCGATTTTGTGCTTTTAGGGATCAACGTGACAGTTTTTCTTATCTTTTTTTCTTTATAGAGGACTAAAGCTGTCTATAGGGTTTAGACACTTTCTCTTTCAGGGGGTCCCAGAATGTTTTGAGTTTCTATTGCTGAAAGATGCCGCAGTTGGTTCTCTATCTTCTGGCTTGTTTTATGCCTCACTGATTGCGACACGTGATACTATGGAACCGTATATTTCCCAGCGTCTTTCATTAATGAAAACAAATCCCAAATCTAGCGACAGTTGGTCTGGCTGAGAGATAATAGGACGCACATTCACTCCTTTTGACAGATTAGCTGCAAAACTATAGCACACTGGCCACTGATACGCTTTCTTTTTGGAGAGACATTTAAAGGGGATAACTTAATCGTCGTGTATGTTTACACATAGTTCTGAATAATGCATTTGGTTTTGGAACTACAATTCTGTCAAAAAGACATACGCATAACGTCAAAGCAGAGTGAATAAGATACCCACATATGATGATGGGTCACTGCTGATATGTTTTTCTAATATAGCAAGATTATATTACTTATATTACTTACCAATACAGTTTATGACTATACTGAGCAACCTGCCCGGGCATGTAGAAAAAAACATGAAATGTAAAATGGTAATCACCCTCACAATAAACTGTCAAAGCAGATTTACTAGGCCTACATAACTAGTCTTTCTATATCATCTTGCTACAAAGGCATAATGTAATGGAGCAAAGGGATGCTGAATAAAGTGTTTATCAACGCCACTCACTGAGGCTCCCTAACTCACTGTAGGTTTCCCTGTCCCCTTTAAGGAGGCCTAACAAACAGGGGCTGAACAAGATATGTCTCATTCAGTATGTGCTGGGTGTTTTTCTTCCATGGCCTAAAGAAGGTATAAATCCTAACTGGCATTGAACAGGGCATCCTAGGAGACAGTGATTAATGATAGCAGTGCATAAAGGTTAACATACTAAGCTGAAAAGTCTGTTGGCTGGAATCCTCCAGCTACAATGAAGGGTACTGAGTGCCTCAGAGAATCCCTTTGTTGCCTTCTCCAATTGTTTCCTCAAAATTCTGCCCAGGAAAGTTTGCCAACCCCTCCACAGACCATGAATGTAATAGTTTCCCTTATGCTCCTGGTATTGTGTGGTCATGAAAAACAGCTTTTATTCAAGTGTTGGGGGTTATTTCAATGGGTGTACAAACACCCATGTGGAAAAAGCTAACATTTAAAAAGGGAACGTTTGGATTTTAAAGCATTTCAGGGGATCCAAATAGGTTCTATCACATTTTGTTATATTTCAGCACGACAGGCATTGTTACATGGTCATAAAAGATCGAAGCCAAAAGGAATATTTTCCCACAACATTTTATAGCATTTTTCCATAGCCTGACGTGACTAATAATATCTGGTCGAAATAATACAATGAATTGTCAAACCAAGTCAATATCAGCTGGAAGAAGCAGAGAACTCAACAAGTCTCAACATTTCACATATTTTAAGATAATATTTTACGCACAGATGGGCTTTGGACATATCCTCATAGGCCTCATTAAAATCCAAGGAACGCAAAATGCTAACATGATCACATCTACTTCCCAACAGGTGCACCTCATGCTATGCGGGGAAGCTGAAGAAAGAGTGATAGCTTGTATTGATTTATTTATTCTGTATGTTTCAGATGGTTGTCCACAGTCAGACGGTGGAGGTGAGAACACTAATTCAATAAGTTCGAATGGAGAAGACTCGGATGAGACCCAAATGAGACTTCAGCTCAAAAGAAAATTGCAAAGGAACCGCACTTCGTTCACACAAGAACAGATAGAAGCGCTTGAGAAAGGTAAATTATACCGCCACGTCACATGTTCTTGTCCAACTGTCGGCCAAAGTAATCTCATTAATGAGCTGGTGATACTAAATTTGTCTATTTTACACAGAAGTAAAGCATCAAGGCTGACTCATTCTATTCATTTTGAATATCACCACAGATTACTGTTTTCATTGGGATACTGTGAACAACTTATTCACTGCAAATGATACATTTTCCCACAACTACATTAGTCTGAATGCTTTTTTAGGCATATTTGATGTATAGCACATTTAATGACTTCCTTTTTAGTTCTTACTAATGTTGTTTTTGTTTCAGAGTTTGAAAGAACTCACTATCCAGATGTTTTCGCAAGGGAAAGACTTGCTGCAAAAATCGACCTCCCAGAGGCCAGAATACAGGTACAGCAACCTCTCCTTGTGCCCATCAATATCACCTTGAATTTAGGGATATTATATTTTATTTATTTATTTATTTAACCTTTATTTAACTAGGCAAGTCAGTTAAGAACACATTCTTATTTACAATGACAGCCTACCAAAAGGCCTCCTGCGGGGACAGGGGCTGGGATAAAAAAATAAATATATATATATATAAATATAGGACCAAACACACATCACAACAAGAGAGACAACACAACACTACATAAAGACCTAAGACAACAACATAGCATGGCGGCAACACATGACAACACAGCATGGTAGCAACACAACATGAAAAACATTAGCAACAACATGGCAGCACAACATGGTAGCACACAGACATGGTACAAACATTGGGCAGACAACACAAAGGGCACTTATAACCACATTCACAGTGTGACACATCCAACGCTAACCTTTGAAACATGACTGTGGTTTCAGGTATGGTTTTCAAATAGAAGGGCAAAGTGGAGGAGGGAGGAGAAACTCCGGAATCAAAGACGACAAGCCAGTAACTCTTCCAGTCACATCCCTATCAGCAGCAGTTTCAGCACCAGTGTCTACCAGCCCATCCCACAGACCACAGCACCAGGTTGGAGTCAGTGATCTTTATCAAAACGTCCTGTTACATCATATACATTCCACCGTCATGTATTGCCTGTAGGGTCTATTTATGTTATTTTAGTACTGTAGCCTAATCAGCATGGAGAATAAAAATCTATTGTACAAATATGTGTGAGAGGAGTGCCACACAATCCATTCTATGTTCCTGCATACCAAGGATACAAATGGCAATCAGGTGCTGACTGGTATCTAAAATACCTTTCTATATCCTGCCCCTGCAGTATCGTTCTCGTCAGGATCCATGTTGGGAAGACCAGACACAGCCCTCACAAACACATACAGTGCCCTGCCACCTATGCCAAGCTTCACCATGGCCAACAACCTGCCTATGCAAGTATGTACATCACTGTCAGATATTTTTTCTAATTACTTAGTATAGCATCCAAATTAATGACCATGATAAATATATGTTGTAAACCTATATAAAGTATACATACTTGTCACACAAGTTAATGCTGTAACTTGCAATGCTGTATTAAATACTATGCTGAATTTCTAGTTGAAATTTGATAGTACAATATTTGCGTTCCCATGCTTGGTGTAGCCCACCCCTTAGTAGATACAGTAGGAGATGTTGCTAGGCGACAGAGAAGCTGGTGAATCTGACTGTCCTGTGTGTTGTCCCCTCAGGCCCCTGTGTCCAGCCAGACCTCCTACTCCTGCATGCTGCCCACCAGTCCCTCAGTCAACGGGCGGAGCTATGACACGTACACCCCTCCTCATATGCAGGCACATATGAACAGCCAATCAATGGCCGGCTCAGGAGGCAACTCAACAGGTAAGCAGAGAAAAAGGCTCATGACAAAATAAAGAAAATCCAAGACATTATGAATCACCATTTGCAAACATTAGTAGGTACAGTGCCATCAGAAAGTATTCAGACCCCTTGACTTTTTCCACATTTTATTGTGTTACAGCCTGAATTTAAAATGGATTAAATGTCGATTTTTTGTCACTGGCCTACACATAATACCCCATAATGTCAAAGTGGAATTATGTTTCTAGAAATGTTTACAAATTAATACAAAATGAAAAGCTGATATGTCTGAAGTCAATAAGTATTCAATCCCTTTGTTATGGCAAGCCTAAATAAGTTCAGGAGTAAACATTTGCTTAACAAGTCACAAAATAAGTTGCATGGAATCAATCTGTGTGCAATAATAGTGTTTAACATTATTTTTGAATGACTACCTCATCTCTGTACCCCACACATACAATTATCTGTAAGGTCCCTAAGTCGAGCAGTGAATTTCAAACACAGATTCAACCACAAAGACCAGTGAGGTTTTCCAATGCCTCGCGAAAAAAGGGCACCTATTGGTATACAAAAAATAAAATAAAAAAGAAGACATTGAAAATGATTTTGAGCATGGTGAAGTTATTAAAACACTTTGGATGGTGTACCAATACACCCAGTCACTACAACGATACAGGACTCTTTCCTAACTCCGTTGCCGGAGAGGAAGGAAACCACTCAGTGATTTCACCATGAGGCTAATGGTGACATTAAAACAGTTACAGAGTTTAACGGCTGTGACAGGAGAAAACTAAGGATGGCTCAACAACATTGTAGTTACTCCACAATACTAACCTAATTGACAGAGTGAAAAGAAGGAAGCCTGTACAGAATAACAAATATTCCAAAACATGCATCCTGTTTGCAGCAAGGCACTAAAGTAATATTGCAATAAATGTGGCAAAGCAATTCACTTTTTGTCCTGAATACAAAGTGTTATGTTTGGGGCAAATCCAATACAACACATTACTGAGTACCAATCTCCATATTCCAAGCATAGTGGTGGCTGCATCATGTTATGGGTATGCTTGTCATTGGCAATGTCTAGGGAGATTTCCAGGATAAGAAAAAAAAGGAATGGAGCTAAGCACGGGCAGATTCCTAGAGGAAAACCTGGTTCAGTCTGCTTTCCACCAGACGATGGGAGATTAATTCACATTTCAGCAGGACAATAACCTAAAACACAAAGCCAAATCTACACTGGAGTTGATTACAAAGAAGACAGTGAATGTTCCTGAGTGGCAGTTACAGTTTTGACTTAAATCTGCTTGAAAATATATGGCAAGACCTGAAAATGATTGTCTAGCAATGATCAACAACCAATTTGACAGAGTTTGAAGAATTTTGAAAAGAATAATGGCAAATGTTGCACAATCCAGGTGTGGAAAGCTCTTAGAGACTTACCCAGAAAGACCCACAGCTGTAATAGCTGCAAAAGATTATTCTAACATGTATTGACTCAGGGGGTTGAATGCTTATATAATCGAGATAGATTAGTGATTTATTTTTCATAAATGTTTTACAAATGTTACAATTTTTCTTCCACTTTGACATTAGAGTATTTTGTGTAGATCATTGACAAAAAAATACAATTAAATCAATTTTAATTCCACTATCTAACACAACAAAATGTGGAAAAAGTCAAGGGGTGTGAATACTTTCTGAAGGCACTGTATTTTGATAGATAGATAAAAACTACATTTTTTCTTAATGAATGTTGAAAATATAAATTATATGGAGATGCTTGTTTACATTAATTATGTTATGAGAATATTGTTATGTGTTCTAAGACTTCAATGAATGTTACTGAGCAGACACTAGAAGGTACTGACTGTATGGTGCCAGAACTGATCCATCGCTCTGTGTTTGTTGTGTCAGGTCTCATCTCTCCTGGAGTATCTGTTCCTGTCCAAGTCCCAGGCAGTGAAGCAGACATGTCGCAGTACTGGCCCAGGCTACAGTAGAGACTGTCAACGTGTGACTCCTTGGATATTGTCTTGAAAGAAGAAGCTGTCCAGCAGTATTTTACTACAGACCTGAGAAAGTACTCTAAAAGAGACTATTTTGTACTGGGATTGTGCCATTCTCTATCATTCTTTGGCCACGAAGACTTGAAGAAGAAAAATAAGAGAAAGGACTTCTGTAAAGTGCCCGGTGTAACATCCTAAATGGGGAATGCCCGGTGTAACATCCTAAATGGGGAATGCCCGGTGTAACATCCTAAATGGGGAATGCCCGGTGTAACATCGTAAATGGGGAATGCCCGGTGTAACATCGTAAATGGGGAATGCCCGGTGTAACGTCGTAAATGGGGAATGCCCGGTGTAACATCCTAAATGGGGAATGCCCGGTGTAACATCCTAAATGGGGAAAAATAACTATCTCTGTTTTCAGTTTCCAACTTATGTCATTTTTGGTGTATTTGTATATGGCCAGTTGTATGTCATGATGAAAAAAGAACAACGTGGGATGGACTTTGAAACTGAGTTGGTCCTTGCTTCTGCTAAAAAGAAGATCATTTGTGAAGGATTTTCTGCCATGAATAGTTTTTATCAATGTATATCAAGAAGCTCTCCCAGTCTGTGTACAGAATGTGGACTCCGGTGAAACAAGTTTGTATCATTCCAGGTACCAGTTGGGTATGAGAAGCCGTTTCTCTGTTCTTTTCTTTTCCAAAGCTTGCTGGCAGAAACATTGTAAATGGAAAGCATTAACCGCTGAAATGGAGTTGAAAAAAACGTTTGGTAGTTAAAAACGGTAGATTGTGTCTTCGATATAATTCAGTTTGTTATGTCGAAATGTAAGTATTTGTCTTCCCTAGCAGTCTTTCCGGAACAATTTCTATAATAAAGTTAATTTCATTTATATTTCTCAGAATATTCTATATGTTTTACACATTTTAATTTAATTCAATCGGGTACAAGTTATTTGTTATAGTTGTACTTCAGTGTTTTACTTGACTTTGTGCTAGTAAAATACTCTCACTGCAACAATGCATAGTAATGCAAGGCCTGCCAGAGTTTAAAGGCTTTTGAGGTTTGCATCTAAACATATCCAAATTAACCATTGTTGATTGTACAAACAGACCAAAGCCTTTGTATATAATTTATTAGACAACCTCCATCTTCTGTTGCCAATTCTGTAAAGATATTGGTCACTTTTAGACAGGCGCAGAGTTTTAAATGTTAGTTTATCAGTTGGTCTTTCACTTATGAGCAAAAATCTGTCCTTATAGTGGATTGACCTGTGCTCATTTCTCAAACTCAGTTCTGTGCTATAGTCTAGAGCATTGCATGAATGAGGAGTCGATTCAGTTGTATTTGAAATATTTCCTAATACATTTATTTAAGCATTCCTGTATTTTGTCAAAATATAAAAGTAATTTTGTACAGTATAATAGTGTCTAAGTGGGAGCTTTATGTTACTAACTAATTATATCAAAACACAATGGTATTGATGATGGTAATGAGTGTCTGCTGCTGCAACATTCAGGACCTACAACATTGGTAAACAAAACGTTATCATTAGATCATCATACACCCATAATGATTTCATGCAAGTTGACATCATTTATCTCATGTGAGGGCAAAATACGTTGCTTTTACATAAAGACTATGGGATGACTGTAGTATTACTTATATACAACAATAACCTTTTCAAAATGTAGCTGTTATAGTTTGGAAAATATGTTATATTACCCAAAGGTCAATAGTACTTGGTAACTAGTGGGCCCTATGAATGCCAAATTCTGAACAATCACACTCCTATGCCAAACAACCAAGAGTATGAAATACAGAAACAAACAGGTCTGGGATCAGGCTAATGATTGTCCTGCTCTTCCTACACATTTGTGGGTATTTCAGTCCAAACAAGCAACATGTAGTAACTGATATAAAGAAACTTGAGTAAGATATCCACGTTGGAAAACTTTTAGAGAAAGAAACCATTTAGAGGGAGAGAGCCCATGTCACAATGCCTGCTATGCTGTGTAGAGAGGTTTACACTGTCTATTATTAAGACAATTATGCTCCCACGCCATCATATGTACATTACAATATCATTACAATTCTATGTTTCCAGGCATGATCTGCTCATTATGTAGGTATTGATATAACTAGTACGTTTACTCAAACTATGATTTTGTGCACACATATCATCTTTCAGAATAGATACTTATAACAGCTAACATCTTTCAGAATAGACACTTATAACAGCTATCATCTTTCAGAATAGATACTTATAACAGCTAACATCTTTCAGAATAGACACTTATAACAGCTATCATCTTTCAGAATAGACACTTATAACAGCTATCATCTTTCAGAATAGACACAATTTCAAACAATTATGAGGGTTCTCTCCAGGGTTCTCTCCAGCATAACCTTCAGGCCTAGCTTTATTATCTAGATTACTCAATTTAAGATAGCTGCAATTGAGAATCCATACAAGGATGCCAAACTCTCAGTAATGAGGCTGAGTTCCTGGACCATGGACTTTCCTCAAGTACATCACACAGCGCCATTTGACTCTAACCCTGAAACACACCTCTTTTCCTATGGATTTACCTTCTGTCTGTTCGAAAGAGCATCGATACATTTGCGATTGGGCAGTGTTCCCCTCTAGCTAGTGTAGGAGTTGAGGAGGTTACAGATGTAAGATCTTAATTTGAGCCAGTTTGCTACAACAGGAAAAGAATCCTGCAGCAACAGGAAATGTGAACGATAATGTCGATTATAAATCATTAATTATTTTGTAGGGGTTGATAAAACATTTTTGTGAGGGAAAATCAAGTCTGAAATTTCAAAGTGGAAATGACAAACTTCAGAGGCCTTTTAAAATCTCAAATACACTATACATTTTATGCAGGAAAGTTCTGCTGCAAACGGGTGATTAAACTAAGATCCTACACCTGTATGAGGAGGTGAGGTTTAGAGTGGGACAATGTAAGGGTTGGTGTGAGGTGTGACCCAGGTGCGGTGCAGGATAGACAGTAGGTAGTAGGCAAGGATGGTGAAACAAGGATCTTTACTGGTGGTCCAAAAGCCAGGATACAAAACAACGGACTATACACGAAAACAAATGAGGAGCACATAAGTCTCCAAAAAACAGGCTGACAACAAACAATACGAAATACTAACCCCCCCCGACGAACGGCCCCAGCCGTTCACCTCGGCGCCTCCGGGTGCAGGCGACGGAATGCTGTATCAGCCATGGGTCCAGAATGTCCCTCCTGGGCACCCCGGACCGCTCCACCGGCCCATAACCCTCCCAGTCCACCAGAAATAGGAGACCCCTCCCCACCTGCCGGCAGTCCAGGATCTGGACCACCGTAAAAGCCGGCTGCCCTCCGACGAGGCGCAGCGGGGGAACAGGACGAGGAGGGGGAGCCAGGGGACAGGTGGCGACGGGCTAGAGGAGGGACACATGGAATGGTGGAGGAAGTTGCAGGCGGTAAGTCACTGGGTTGACTCGCCGGACCACTCTGAATGGCCCGACGGGACTGCCGCCTCCTTCTCTTGCTTGGGAATAGGGGCACTTGGGGATAGGCAGGGGTCGGAGCAGCCCTGCCGCGGACTGACGTGAGCTCTTCGTGCGTGCGCACACCGGGCAAGCAGCCATGAAGGCGCGCATATCCCCCTCAGCAGATGGCCACCAGAACCTCCTACGCAGGAACTCCAACATCCTGGCGCCCCCCGGATGGCTGGTGAGGTCGGACGCGTGCGCCCACTGAAGCAGTCGCGAGCGCGCAGCCTTGGGTACACTTCTCGAGTACCTGTAACTCTGTCACGTGATCCGACGCTGATATCAATTCCCCACGAAACTGGGGCAGCCATCAGGGCGTTGGGGACAATGGGGTCGGCCCTCATGGCCAGCGTCTCCGGCCGGGACAAGGAAAGCCATCGCCCTCGTGTGGGCATTGCGCCAGGCAGGAGATCGATAGCGCAGTCATAAGGCCTGTGAGGAGGTAGGCCCTTGGCACGCCTCTTACTAAACCCCTCCCCCAGTTCCCAATACTCCTGGGGAAGAGGTGAGGACTGGTAGGTGGTCTGGGATGGTGGTTTAGGCTGATGAGTGGTCGGTGGTGACCGGAACAGGACGGGGGCGGAGCCTCCCTCCAGGATGAGCCGCCCTGTGGACCAGTCTATCCGGGGGTTGTGGGCGGCCAGCCAGGGGTGCCAGAGGATGAGGGGACACTCCAGAGAGTCCACAATGAAAAACTGGATATATACTCCCATAGCCCCACCGCCACCCGGACTCACACGGGGACAGTGCGCCGGGTGATGCAGCCCGACCCCAACGGCCGGCTGTCCAGGCCCGTGATTGGAACCGGCTCGGAGAGAGAGAGTAACGGAACGCTCCACCCTTGGGCCAGCCCCTCATCCATCAGGTTTCCCGCAGCCCCAGAATCCACCAGTGCATGTGCCCAACATGCAACGCGGGCCCACTGAACCATGACGGGGAGAAAAGTCTGGCCATCTCTGGAGTTGGGGTTTTGGTTCCGGCTCGCTAGCACCCCTCCCAATACCAGCAAGCCCTCCTGTTTTCCCGGCTTCTCCGGGCATGAGTCACCATGGTGACCTGCGTGGCCTCAGTACCGACAACGTCCCTGTGGCAGACGCCTCTGCCTCTCCATCCGGGACAAGCGCGTTGCACCCAGATGCATAGCCTCCTCCTGAGGCGTCTCCTCCCTGAAATGGCGGAAGCCTCCGGGCTGATAGGGAGACGCGGCGGCAAGCCTTGCGTCATCCCTCTCTCGTACGCCCTCTCACAACGCCAATTGTCCACCCGCACCGATAGGTCGACAAGGCCGCCCAGTTGCTCAGGCAGCTCGCTGAACAATGATGAGCACATAGGTCTCCAAAAAACAGGCTGACAACAAACAATACGAAATACTAGCTGACTGGAAAAACACAATGACACAGGGAGAACACTTCTCGAGTACCTGTAACTCCGTCACGTGATC